GCAAATGAAGAGACACAAAAAGTCATAAAGTCCAAATGTTTAAGGAATTGCATTGGGTAAATGTGCAAAGTATAAATCTATCCCACCCTCAATCCAAAACAACCACCCTAGTTAAGTAAATTACAAGCACTCCAATTCAACAATAAAATCTTCATTTTAAATTTGAAATACAAAAATAAAAAATTGGAAAATATAGTATGATATTAAAATCAATTAAAACATTGAGGACTTAATTGTTTAAATTGAAATTTCAAGAATCAAGTTGAAACATGACTCTTACTTGAAGAGTATAAATCTTAAAACACTCAAATAAAAATTATACATCAACCTAGATTACATATAACGTATGTGTGCATCAACTAGTTACTATAAAATATTAACAAAAATGAAAACTTTTGATTGACTAAAATAGCCCTGATAAACTAACTAATCCCCATACTATCTTATGTATATTTAATGAAAATTATAAAAATTATAATTATTGTTGTAATATAAACATTATTCAAATATAAATTAATCATGAAACCTCAATAAATCATGTTAGTTGCAAGCTATACTGAAACGACTTTCTCTCTCCTCTCTCTCTCTCTTTCTCACATAAGAGTTGGTTAAGGTGCACCTGTGCGCCCTTACATATCTCTCTCTCATTTTAGTCATTAGGTATAATAATCACATTAACATTTGTTTGCCCTTTCGTTTTCCGTCTGTCTCATCTTCCATTAACTCATTAACCAAACCCATAAAGAAGTGAAAACTGATCAAGAGGTAGCAGCACTGTCATTAGTGCTTGGAGGCCTAATTCTATCCGAGAGGGAGGGGCTTGCACAATGCTTGAACCATAAATCTTTCTACCACCTAATGCTCATCAAAACTTACAGACTGTCATTAATACTCTTCCAGATGCAAAATTTGGTGGTGGGACTAGGTCTGGTCTCGAACCTCTGCTTCTTGAGAGGCTTTTTGTAGACTATGGAAAGAAATTGAAGCCTACCATTTACCCATCCCCACAGGTCTCCACCACTATAGTTGAGCCTTGTAACTCTGTCCTATCAGCACAATCTTGTCTTGAGCACACTAATGTTGCAATATTGCTTGACAATGATCTATATCTGTGTTTTTTGACTTAGTACTCATTCTTGGCTTTGTCTTTGGAGGGAACTCTTACAGTAAGAGGGAGGCCGAGGAACAAACTGAGTGCGAAAGGTTGCAGAAATAGTGGCTTCATGAACTGGACTAGATCAAAAGTAATATTACTGTCTAAGCTGCTACCACATGTAAATGTATGGAAGAATTATGTGTCTTGAATCCAATTTTTGCTATAATTTTTCAAATAAGCCACTTGAAATCACTTACAGCTACGGGGATGGGGAAAGCCATAGGTGAGTGATGTAGGTAAATGGCCATATTTGTGGTATCTTCTTACTCCCCCTCTCTCTTCTTTGTGTGTATAATATCTATTTATTTTTCTTCTTTTTAACCTTTTTGTCTTAGCAATTCTACTGGTTTACTATCTCAGGTTAGGAAAGACGATTCCATAGGAGTGTTTCTTTGAGCTGTTCAGTAGCAACTTGCACCTGAGTTTTGTGAGATCCGAACAACTTCAATAGAGAATCTGCTTTATGTGAAAAAAGAGCTTATCATTTCTCATTTAAGATAATCTTATAGTCCCTTTTCAATTACATTTTTTTAATCCATAATGGTGGATGTGGGCCAACATGCTTTTTTATTGTTTTTTTTTTGTGGAGAATGGATGTTTAACAACACAACTTTGGTGAACTGTTGTTAACAAGGCCAAGGAAAAAACTGGACCACAGGTAATGTTGAAATCTCTTCACTTGTATATTTTGTACAGAGTTCATATTAGTTTTTTTTTCTCTTTTGCTTGAGACTTTAAGCAGTGAAATCCACATATTCTCTCCATTTTACCACTCTGTTGGCAAGAACCTCATTTACAAAATAGAAAGTTCTCTGAATAATTTGATTGGGTCTGTGGTCTAGAGTCTATAACCATATTAAGTTCTTGTAAAATTTGGAGGTGTAGTAAGAATATTTTTTTGTCTTACGTTGCTATATACCCACTTTTACTTTATCTTTGATAAATGATAACTTGTAAAAATTTATATATTTGCTTAGTGGAATATGAAAATAGTGTTGCCAGGCTATTATATATTCCTTCTATTGATCTAAAAGATAAATGCTTAGCACTTCCAAAGGAAAGGCCTCGTGATGTTAATTCTACCGACGCTTAGACGTTAAGCTTTAGTGTTTTTTTATCCATTTCACGAAATCAATAATTTTTGAAATTACACAATTAGTAGTTAGGTTGATTCTTTATTTTGTAATTTTGAAGAAATTGAGATATTAACTATTAGTAGTTCTTACAAAATAAATTAATTTTTGTTCCGAGTGTATTATTTAATTCCTTCACGTTCAAATGTATTGTTGGTTTGTCGAATTGATTATGTTCTTACTTCCCAAACAAGTTCTTGAGGTATTCAGTTGCTAAAAAAAACATTGCTGACATCAACCAAGTGAGTAAAAACCTTGTACGACAACAACTGTAGGTTAACCTTAATCACTTGATTCCGATTATAGATAAACGATGTTCCTCCATTACGTGTGCAAGTATGAAATTTTGATTAGTTGCACACCTCCACAATATTTTATCCTTTTTGTGTTTTAAAGCTAGGGTCCATGGTGTTTACAAACTGTATTCCAGTTCATAACGTAGAATACTCTAAGTTGTGTTGCGTTCTATGTTTGTACCATTATTTCTATCCGCGGAACACATTTTATACCAATGTAATGGAGGTTGATGTTTCCCAAGCATAGATCAATGTTATCAGTTTTAAGCAATTGAGGGTGTTACGATATTATCCTATTCCATGAGACTATCAGACACAATCTTATATATTTTTTTTAAATGTAAACACGTGGTTCGATTATGCCTTGACCTTCATTTCTTTTCGATAAATGCAATGTTATTCATTATTCAAAGTTAAGATTTCAAGTCATTCAAATGTACTAATGAATGTTGTTTGCAATTATGTTTCATTGGTAAAAGAATGGAGGCAATGAAATCATGATTAGATGTTTGAGTTATAATTTTTTTACTATATGCAAGTTGGATATTCGAACGTGTTCATTAAGATAGAATTAAGGAGTATAATTTCATTTGTTGCCTGAAATGATCCACGTGCAACACACGTGTGCATTAACTAATACTATTTTAAAAAGTGAACATATTTGAAAAATATTTTTTTTTTCACTTTTATCGTCCAAAATCACAACTATCTCATTTTTATCCCTCAACATTAAAGTCAAAATATACCTAAGCCTCCTCATGTTCCCAAAAAAAAAAAAAAAACTATGCCTTCCCAATCTTCTCTCTCCCTTGTTATTTCATCTTCATCTTTCTCCACTCCAAATAACCTCTTCCAAAAACCCTCGATGTTCCCCTCTTTCTCCCTCTCTTTCTCTACTGCTCTCAAAATGTATTATTCCACCCATTCAATTCTCTTTGCATCTCAACATTTGGTGCATCTTTACTTTTTGTGGTATTGTTCTTTCACTGATATTTATTATAAATTTTTTTTTTTTTACGAATTCATCCCAAATTTAATGATACCAACAAAATTGAAATTTCACGGAGAAATCAAGCACAAACAAACCGTGTGTATTAGCATCATGGAGAAAAATTGGAATTTGGTTACTGTTAAAAAGTTTAATAAATTATTTGTTTAGAGTAATAATAATAGAAAATTTGTGTTATAATTATCACAAATATGAATTACAACCAAACATTTTAGTGGAGATGTTTGTTGGACATTTTAATTAGGTTTGGTTGACTTTCACCAGTATGGTTGTGATACATAATTTGAAGAAGGAGACTTAGAGTGTGTTTGAGATGACTTATGAAATTTAAAAAGTACTTTTTTAATAAATGTTTATCAAAAGTATTTATAAAAAAAATACTTTTATTAAATAAGTATTGTTTGGATATTCAAAATTTAAAATACTTAAATTAATGTATTTTATAAAAAGCACATTTGAATGTGAAAATACTTATTTGTATTAGAATTGTTAATAACATTGAATACACATATACAAACATACACTACCCACATAATGATACACACAAAAATATCATATTAATAAATGTATCATACGAAACTGGGCATTTGCTATAAAATTAAAAATCTTTTCTTTAATACTCCAAAACATCATTCAATCACATTCCTTAACGAAGAATTGACTCATTTATCAAGGATATCAAATTATTTCAATCAAATTGGCTCGATGTCCTGATTGGCTGAATTGAGTGCCATGCAAATAACTGGGGAAAAAAATAACCATGAATTCCAATGCCACTATTATTAAAATACATGAATTAGAGTAGATGACAACATCAAGATAATGCTGAGTGCTGAGAGTGGGGAGGACGGAGAACATAATAGAATGCAATTGACAGGTTTGAAACCAGTGTCACAAATCTTCAGCACTAGTCCAGAATGCATGAACATATAAAAAGCTGCTGCCAGAAAATACCATATCGATAGGTTGCGTCCCATCAAGATAACCCACCTTTGAACCAACATGTTTTGCTATTGAAAATCCATTGCCTTTTTCATTTGAGGAAAAGAGAGGGGAGGGGGGGGGTTGGTATCGTAGGGTCATGTTTTGACATGCCTCAAACATCAGGGGTGTCATAGAAAAGTAGAAACATTATTGCACCTACATAATAAACAGGCCTCATATTACCAACACTAGTTGGCTACATTTACCGAACATACTTAAAAAAATTGAAAAGAAGTCAGTATGCTAGCTCAAACTGAGTAAATTCTTACTCAAATGGAACATTAGTTTGTGACCTTGCAACATGCCTCTCTTACAGAAAATACAGGACACCATATTCCCTGTCTTCCAGACTTGGTAACAGAATTCCTATCATCCATTTCCATCAGCTTTCTCAACCTTTGTTTGGCCAACATTTTTTGCGATCATATCTTTACCAGAAGCAGTGCACACCACTTCCCCATCAGTTCTTTCTGTGCACGCTGACTTATATTCCGAGGAAGGTTATCCCGAGATGATGATTTCGATTTGGCATCATCAACCATGCAAGTATCCTCAACAATTGGGGTGTTCCTCTGTGAAGAATCAGTTGGTGAAAGCAAATCAGACTTAGACATTTCTTCAGCAGCCACACTTGCAAGCAGATTCATTCCAACATCATCACCAAGAGTCATGGATGCAGCAACTTCAGAGTATTTAACACAACTTTCAATTAATGCATTTATAGAGCTTCATCTGATCCAGTAAGCACATCTTTTAGATCATTACGTTGCCACGACTCAGTATTCACATCAGACATAACATTAGCTTGATATGCATCACTCTTATCCTTTAAACTATGATAAAATTGACCATGCTTCTCCACAAGCACAGGAGAAGAAGCTCTGCTATTCATGATGGAAGGGTCTTCAAAGGATTCACTGGCACACTCTACAATCCATCATCTAAAGGAACCCCCTTACCTTGAATGAAACAACATTAAAAGACAACAAACACAACATCACATAATTGATAGAAGTTAGGATTTCTATCAAACAGTTGGTGGGCATGCAACCATAACATAAAAATTAACAGCTGGTGCTTTCCAAATCCTTATTTTGTCACATGAAAACTAACAGCCCCAAGCATAAGAAAAAATCCATAGCACATGCAAGCCATTTTATCAAACAGTTGGTGGACATTCTATCAAACTGTCCAGTTTTGCTAATCATGGATCAAATAATAGTGATTTTCATAGTAATTATGGATCAAAAAAATAAAAAACAGTTTCCCCAAATTCTTTCTAAGATCTCCGAAAATTTCATCATCAAAAAAAAATCACAAACCAAAATACATCAACCCACAACAAATCATAAACAAATCGTTGCAACAAATAATATCAAATTAGTTAAGAAGATATTGTATCTCGTTTGAAGGGATTTGGTTAGACCAGCATACAACAAAGAGCGGTGAGAGAGAAGACGGCTCCGGCGTCGTTGGTAGTTGGCGAGAGAGAAGGTAGTGTCCTTGGTCGGCGTCGAGATTATAGTAGCTACATGAGGGAGAGGTATCAGAGTACTTGGGTATCAGGGGAGGTATCGGGGGACCGAAGAGAAAATGAGATTTGGAAATGAAAAGATTTTTAAAAGAAATAAGTGCTCAAATTACTCAAAAAGTGTTTTTAAGGTAAGACAAACACTAATTTTTTTTGAAAAGATATTTTTCATAAGTTAAAAGTCCCAAAAATATTTTTTTTTTTAAGTCACGTCAAACAAACTCTGCCCTCCTATTTTCCTTAATTCTCATATTTTCTATTTATTTAATTACTTATCTTCCGAATGAACTATTGCCATGTGGACAATACTTGTTAATGCACTTACACATTATCCCACCTTTCAAGTTACCTCACCCAAACTAGCTCATTTGCTTCTCTCTTTCTCTCGCACACGTTCATAAGAGATGATAAGTTCCCACATCCAAACTAACTCAATCACCCCCCCCCCCTCCACCTCTCTCTCCCTCCCTCCCTCCCTCCCTGTGAAATAATGGATGTAATTGTTACCCCGTGTCATAATATTATGGTATAACTGTCCAATGAAAAGATAACATATGGACAGATAAATTCTACGTATTCTAGTAACTACATGTCAAGTCATTTAATAACCATTCAAATAGGGTTCACGTTATTTATTTGTAAGTTTATTATTAAATAGTGACAATACGTATCAATGATAAAATAGTGTTACCATTACACCCACTATCCTTTCTTACACACACGTTCATAAGAAGTGATGAAAAATCTATTGTTATTCATAAATCTATCAGAGATGGGAGAGTTTGGATCGAAAGAAAGAATGTATTCCAATTTTACATTTGAATTTACATCGCTTGGGACCAACACTAGTACATAATAGATTGGTGATTTGCTTTGACAATTTGGTGAGACTAAGTGTAACTATGGTTATTAGGTAGTTTATAAGGAGTGTTTGTGGGTCCTTATCTGGGTTCCTCCCGAGGCCTTCCCTGATCACGGTTCATGGTTCAACCTTCAAATCATGATATTGCAGGACAATATCGAAAGATACACATGAAATGCTAAATAGAAAAGAAATTGCACATTACTAAGAGATCTAGTCTATATCGCGACATTACAAAAAAATGATATTAACTGATTCGATCTCGGGCAATTTGACATTGATTTGGAGATAACTCATGATTTATACAAAACGCGTGTTTGTGTCGAAACGGAAAGTGCCAAGTCAAATGGCCTTAAAAACAGAAAGTACCAAATCAAATACTTATCACCCAAGTCATACGGTTACCATTTTATGACACACTATAACAAGTTTCAACTCTCCTGACATTATAATGTGATGATCATCTGCAGATAATCACTCGAAAAAATCATATCTTTGTTTTGGTTCACCTAGATTCTAAGACTCGTAATTTCGATTATCTTCCTTTTATTGGTTCCTCAGCCTCATCCTTGTAGTTGGGCCAAGAAAGAACTTTTGGATCTCAATCTAACACAACAATGCATGCATCACAACCATTGATTACAATTATTTTATTCTTTTTTCTCTTTCTTTCATCGAATACAATTTACTAATCTTTCTTGTTATTGACCCACTAATCAATTCCTCAAAGAAAAAAACAAAAACAAAAACTCCAACAAAAACTGTCTCTACAAGTACGAAAACGGATTTCTAAATCTCACATCTACTTAAATTGTGGGAGAATGTAGTAATCACTTTCGTGAATTATTAGAAACCAACTTTTCAGATTGACTGTTCTATTAGTTCACAATCTTCCACTCTGCATGGTCATAAGACATTGATCATTCGCTTTGTTAATCACCATGACTTCACAAGCTAATTTTTGAATTACCTTACAGAATACATGAGAAAAAAACAGTAGCATTCAGGATATTGAATAATCTACTTTGAGAGATGGAAATTGTCTCAAGCAGTATATTGCTGATGCAGTAGTTTTCGCCTCTACGTTGCTAGTAATCCTCACCAATGGTGATTCATGGTTCCGATTCCATCTCCATGTGAACTTAGAAGTTCACAAATTGATTGCAATTACTTAACTATATAGATCATGAACAAGAAAATACTCTCAAATGATCTTTTCTTTTGAGCCAATGAGCCATATCCAATCAAGAGAACCCCAAAAGTGTGCCACCTATAAGGCATAGTATTAGCAGGTTCCCCAATGCATTTTGCTCCGGACCCTACAAAACAAATTACCCGTAAATTTTATGAGAAAATGCTTGTAATTTCACCTTTGTTTCACAGGCCTGTGACGTGAATAAACCTTGTAGCCTTTGGGAGCTGCTGTAAGGACACGAACAGTCAGGTAACCATTGGTCAGTCCCAAGAAGGATGCTAGCATTGCATTGGTCCTTGATCACTGTATTTTGCAGCGAAGTAAAAACAAGGGATAAGCAAGAGACACGATAGTGTTGCAAACATAAGGCCCTTTCGAGACTCCAACTAGAGCTTTTTCACGAGAGGAATGTATCTTGATATCAGATTCCCCTACATTGTACATTGCCATTAGAACAATAGCATACCGGCAAGTCACCAGTTGTGAAAGAGTAATGATATTAGAATGAATCAAGAAATGTATCATATTTGTCAATCTCTTATGAACCGTGGAGTACATAATAAGCATAAATGCACACATCCGATAAAATTGTGCATGAGGGACTTCATAGTGTATGCATATTTTTGTCAACTTCAGGTGAGAGTTCAATGAGGCCATGGAAACACTTTTTCTCAGGCTACCAATTATCTGCTAAAGCAATTTTGTTGTGTAACACTGATACCCAGAAATCACCAAAGAGAACTATAAAACCAGAGGACTAAGCTTGTGACAAATCCTATACTATAGTTAATACAATTGGTCAGTTGCATTCAGCAAGGAGAAATTTGGGTCTTTTTAGCAAGAATAAATAGAAACCAACGATTGAAGTCTTATGAGCAACTATCAAACACAATGTTCATTAGAGCTCTAAATAAAATGTTAAATGCAGAAAAGCACTTACGTACCGCGAGCCCAGATGATGCATTCCAGTGTTTTCATATAAGAACCCAGGCATAATTCATAAAGATATGGCAGCTATCAAAAACAGATCTATGGCATAGTCTATGTTCTGTAACAAAAATTGTCTATGGCTCAAATGCTTTGAGTATGTAGCATCATTCTGAAAAGGTAGCAAAAGAATATTATTAAGACAAGTATTCATGAGTTTCTTGTGCATGGTGTGCTATGAAGTCGAAAATTTGACATACTATTTTGCTTTCTTGTGTTTGGATGCCAGCAGCAGCAAGGTCAGCTGAAACAGTTTTCGATCCTTCTGAGGCTGCTTTTGAGCGGTAGTGCTTCACGATTGGTAATTTAGGGAAGTAGAATGCGTAAAGAAGAATGCATAAAGAAGAATGCATAGAAACACCAAAAGAGTGGACATGGCAAGGAATAGAACTGCAAACGATGGTAATAAGGATTCAATTATCAGCATAAATTTTGGACAAACCCAAGAGCTAAACAGCAGTTTCGGATAAAACAGTTAGTCAACAAATATAAGTTTTGGATATTAACAATTTTGTTCGGGCCAAACAATAGTATTATCATTCTTCTTATTACTGAAAATAAATACACATACTAGCCCCGTTGCGAAGACCATTATCAGATTTTTCAAAGGCCGCTTTTGTGACTGGCCTCAAAGCAGAAGTGAGAGCTCCTGATGCGGCTACACCAGCTAAAAAGGACTGCAAAACTCACAGCAAGAATAATCATATAGCTAAGTAATTGATTCGAATTGTGAGGAATGAAGGACAAAGTTATCAAGCAAAATGAGGTGAAAACATTTAATTGGAAAACTTCACCTGCAAGAACTTAGGTCACATGAAGGATAGGTCTCCGACCATCCCACCTTGAACAAAGGCATCTGCGACTCCAAGGGAAGCGACAATGACACATATACCTATATAATTTCCAAACCCGCTTTTCCCTGATGAGGCAAAATCCAACTGTCAAAATTCAGAGAGTAGAATGTGGTGAGATTGATTGGAAGCTAAAAATTCATGGTTAAGTTACAAAAACCAGATAGTGGAAAATGAAACAGAGGCAGTACTTACAACTAGGAGTGCCAAAGTACCGAAGAAGAAAACAATGTATCCAAATAAATTCCGTCGCCTAGTAGGCTAGTATCTACCTTGCCTCAAAATGTGCAAGTGTTGCCATTGTTCCAAGTGCAAATGGTTGATAAACCATGGTGAGAACCCTTGCAGGATGGAATTCCTTCGGAGTAAAAATAAATATATGAATGCTGAGGACTTCTTCACATGAATTTATTTTTGACATAACACTGTACATTTGATATATGAGTCTGTGACATTCAATTACCGATGGATGCCTCAAAGAGAGGATGAGGACAGTAGAGAAGCCAATGAAATTGGAAACTCCATTCAGGAAGTTATGAATTTATTCTATTGATATCGTGGTAAGGAATTTGTCCCTAGATATTTTTCGAAATATGGGAAAGATACTTGTTTCGGAATCCTATATTATTTTCAGCCCTCCTGGAAGTAGAAACTGTGTCATTATCTGGGATCCAAGCATATTGTGGGCAGATGAAATCTCTATGCAGAAAGTTTAATTAAATTTGAGCATGCTTACTTGAGAGCCTGGAGAGTTCTGTGAGTTTAAACAAGTGAATAGCCCCTAAGAAAGCATACAATCAAGGAGTCTCAGGAGTCATAAATTGAAGTGACAGAGGATCAAACTGCTTGAAATGGATTTAATAAACTTTCGATACGCGGTAGTGTAACTATGGGGAACAATGCATAGTAGTAGTCTCCTATTGTCAACAGAGTATTCCAGGAGACAAGGGAACCAAGTCCAAGAATCCAACGAGTTACCATTGCGCCATGCCTTCCCTGAAAGTTAAAGAAGATTGAACAACACAAATCAATACTATAGTGACAAAATTCAACCCTTTCTTATCAAAAGCTATGAAACAAAGGTGGGGTCACAAACCTCTAGCCTGGTTGGATTTCCAATTGGATTAGCAACATTCATGGCTTCTCGTCTGCAAATTGCAGTCCCGGTAAAGAGTTTAGAGTTTGTGCAGTGATATATATCTTCCGCAGTGTATAGATTTAACTACTTATATGGAACTTTACAAGATAAAGTAACAACTAAAAAGTATAAAGAATTCTATAATAATTTTGTCCCTTATGACTCAAAGAAATTGTTTACTGGTCCTATGCAAGAGTATCAACCAAAGTGGCCGTGAAGCAACAAGAACATCCCCAAAGTTGTAGCCACACCAGTCGAAAAATATAAAATGCTGCTAACAGAGAAGAAAATTGCAATTTATTATGTACTTCAGCTCCTTATTTTGCGTGAAATATCCTCATATTCAGCAGTTTGGCATATAAAATACCCACAGAAATGACATTATAGAAGAACAGGTATGCAGAGAAATCGTATTTACTATAAAGAAACGCAGTATAGAAACGTGAAAAACATATATAAGACTATCACATCGTGACAAAGTTAACAAAAAAAAAACTATCACTCACTGGAAAATGGTTAAGTTGCTAGCAATTCTATCTGCAAATGATTATATTCAGATTGCGACTCACTGAGTTTCTTCTGCCAACTTACTACAAACAATAGCAATGCAAAACACAGATTCTAAGTCTTATAAGGATATTGACAAACAACCCACATTGTATATAAGGGTGATAATCAAGTTCATATTTGGATAGAGTACTAGTCAATCCTAATTTAAAGTCGTAAATCAACAACTTCGGGTAGAATTCCCTATTCCCTCGACCAAACCCACCACCACAATTGCACAAAAATTAAAAATACACTCAATCAATATGGGTACATTGTAAAGAAACAAAAAGAAATATGTATACTTTCTTACTACAGTATCTCTTAACACAACTTTGTCATGTAAAAATCAGATTACCCCTGTTTGACATTAATCTCACTTGTTTACCATTCATGTTAGTATGTCGTATTATTTTGGATTAATTAATGTTAATTTTGTGATGAATTTGAATCATGTCAACCTATCTTGTTGGATATTGCCAACCCACCCATTAAAATGATAAATAAATTCTCCCCGTCACAATATGCTACCGAAGCATATATGCCCATATCTTGTGACCGCCAGGGTATCTTAATCCTTACCCCCCATCTCACCTACCCCACACATAGCAAACCACATACCATATCTTAATCCTTACCCCCCACCTCTTCTATACTCACCCAATTAGTAGCTAAGCTCATCTCGTGCTACATTCACCCCTTTTAATAAGTAAACACACTTTATATTTTGTCATAATTAGAATTTCATTATCTATCTCTTCTTGTGCACTTACAAAAATATTTTTTAAATATGAATTTTTTTAGTGAGATACATGTTAGTTTAACTTCTCAATTTCATTCTTTTTTTGATTTCATGTTGTTATATGAATTTTTATTATTTTCAGTATATTTTGATATGTATATCAAGTTTAATAATTTTTTATTTAGAATTTATATGTGTGTATATATATATGTATATTTTTATATTATTTATTCTTTTTTATCTTGTTAAGGTGTTGCGTCTATGCTTGTTATTTTTTTTCTTATTCAATTTTGTGTTTGTGCTTACTTTTTTTTTCATATTCTGTTTTACGTCTTGTAGTTTGCTTGGTTTTTTTTTCCTTCTTATTTCGGTTTGTATTTCGTTTTTTTCTTTTTTCTTGTTTTGGTCTGCTTCTTTCTTTCCTTTTTCTTTTTCTTGTTCCGTTCTTTTATTTTTTCTTGTTTTAGCATGCTTGGTTTTTTTTATTTGTTTCATTTTTTATTCTTTTTTTTCTTGTTTCATAAATATATTTATTTATTCAAACTAATCGTCTTTTTTCATTATTTTTTCCTTACAATGACTTCTTTCATTAAAAGAGTATACATATAATGAGTGAACTTAACAATTAATGAGGGTGTATGTAGAAGGGGTAGACTTAGTAGTTTGAGAAGAAGAAATTAAATGGGATGAAAATGAAGATTAGTGCAGTGGGAATAGTCCCACCATTTTGTTTTTCGAGCCCTTAATTTTTTTTTATAAATGCATGTTCAATGAAGTCAAATTTACTTTAATAAGTTTTATACTAAATATGAGATTCATTATTTTAATTATAATACTATTCATGTCTTGGAGCCTACCATGTATAACAAAACTATGTAATTATATTTTTCTTATATTGTTTATAACTATTTTGATCAACTTGAAAAGTATGTACTTTGGTTTTTCTTTTTAGAATTTAATAGTCCTTTGAAAATTTAAAATTTAAATTTAAATTGAGTTTATTAATAGCTTCTTTTAGTTAGACAATTCACTAGAGTGTTTATTGTCTACCATTGAACTTCAAATCTTCTCTCCCTATTCTATTAATTCTCATTAATTATGTCATTGAATGAATTTTATAAATCTAAATAATATACAAAAAATTTGAATATTAAGTTGGCATTTTTAATAAAAAAAATGCAAATGAGTATAGTGGAAAAAAGAATGCTAAGGTGGATATGTGAAAAAATTAGAAAAGATAGAATAAGAAATGATCGTATTAGAGAAATGGTAGGAATAGAAACACTGGTTCAACGGAGGTCGATATTCAACGTATTAAGAATGATCGTATTAAGATAATTTAGTCATATTCAACAGAGGTTGATAGAGGCACCGACTCAAAAAAAAAGTGAGATAATCTCTCTTAATGGTATTAAAAGTAAAGGTACACCTAAATTAATATTGAACAAAATAATAAAAAAAGATATGAAAATATTTAACTTAAATTAGCATATAGTGCATGATCGAAATGAATGGCGAAGACGAACTCACATAACCGACCTCAAATGATTAAGACATAAGGTTTAGTTTAGTTTGATTTGATTTATTTTAATAAAAAATTATATATTATCATTATAATTATAATTAATGGGACCTCGTCCAAGAATTTTGCCTAAGGCCTCCATTTGGCTCAAGCTGAGTTGTTACGATAGTCGGTAGCATTTACAATTGTACTGATACGGATATTTTTACCACAAAAGTGAGAAAAAGTTATCACAATAGTGATAAAATACCCACAAAAGTGATAATTCTTTTTTTGTTATAAAATAACTCACAAAATTTATAAAAACACCTACTAAAATTGTAAAATTTAGAAGTAAGTTACCGAAAAAAAAAAAAAAAAAACACTCAAGCATTTTCTTTTGTGTTGTCATAACCCACCCAGGTATACCCTAAACGAAGAAAGATTCATTTTCTACATATAAACAAACACATTAATCTATTATATATAAAATAATTAAATTAGGTAAGCGGTAGTTTAAGCTGCTTTCCCTCCTACTTTCCTTATTTCTTAGAACTTAAATATAATTATTTATTTAATTTCTCATAAAAAATAAAAAAAATACAAATTATTGTCCCGTGCATTGCAGCAGGCCGACTACTAGTATATGTATATCAATAATGTTCCGTGGAGAGTTTAACTGAGCAATCTCAATTCACACGAAGAGATAGAGATACGTACGCATAGACAAAGACTATTGATATTTGTATCTTCTATTCCACTTAAATTAATATTCGATCCCGACATAAAATTAATTGTGGGATCCGATTTCTTGGTTGAGCAGTCCATAGAATACAATTAAGTTGGTATTAATGTTCTGTTTGGTAGGAATGATGGAAAGTAGAAGGATGTATCCTTAAAGGATAAAAAGTAGGAATGATATATTTTCCTTCCTTTGTGTTTGGTTGGATTAATGAAAAATAAAAATGACTAATTTTTTTTTTTGCCGGCTAAGATTAGGGGTGATAATCGAGTTGTGTCGTGCCGGATTCATGTTGAGTTATAAAATTATGAGTCTTTTATATTTCTTGTTCACGTGTCAAGTCATTTTCAAGTTCGTGTCGAATTATAAACAAATTCGTGTCATAAAATTCATGTCGCGTTCGAGTCATGTCATCGTGTTGAGTTGAAAATTTTCGCCTCTAGTTAAGATGAAAATTTTTTTTTTTAATTTAAAAATTTTAATTTAATTTTTTTATTTTAATTTTAATTTTTAAATTTATATATATATATATATATATATATATATATATATATTATATATATATATATTTTATCATTGTATTTTTATATGAAATTAATATATATATAATATATAGACAAATAAGATACATCTCAACACAAATAATTAATTTTCTATCCACTTTCCTTCCAATTTTGGAGGGATTGATTTTGGTGAGTTGGAAAAAAAATTAATTCATCCACTTTTCTATCTTCCTATTTTCCTTCCTTACCAAATATGATGTTTTATTTATCCTTCTAATTTTCCATCATTCCATTTTTTTATCGTACCAAACGGAGTATAAGTGTTTCTTTTGAAAAAAAACTCTATGCACGTCACTTTATTGGTGAACAAACTTTTTCTTCTTCGACTTAATGCTACATTTTGTTAGAGTGGGTCTTGGCACAATCATAAGATTGCTCTTATGTGACATGGAAGTCATGAGTATGAGTAGTGAAAATAATTTTCACTTACATGGTAAAATTACGTACATTTAACTCTCCTTTGGCCCCATAAAATGAAAACCTCGTGCACTAGATAGAACCTATTTAATGTGACTTTTTGTCTAACATAGACTTGGACTTGGATTCTACTGTCATGGTATAGAAAAAGAAGAAAAAAGGTCGAGAGGATATAGATAAGGAAAAGACAGTGTTCATTCGACTGAAGATTTGAAACCGTCAAAATCTTTTGTAATCTCCAACTTTTGATAGTGAAATATTGCCGCTATGTTTTGCTTGTGGACGTAAGTTTCTATCGAGCCGTGGACGTAAGTTTCTATCGAGCCGAACTACGTAAATTTGTGTGTATCATTTTCTCTATTTTTTGTTTTGTCATTATTTTTGTTTGGGGTCATGGTTCAACCTTGGATTCGTGACATTGCAAAAAAGTATTGAAAGATGCACACGAAATGCTAAATATAAAAGAAATTGCACATTATTGAGAGATTTAGCCCATATCGTAACATTACAAAAAATAATATTAACTCATTTGATTTCGGGCAATTCCGCATTGACTTGGAGACAACTTGACTGAGTCAAGTGAGACTCATGATTTATACAAAATGCGTTTTGGTCTCAAAACAGTAAAATACCAAATCAAATGACTTCGAAAATAAAAAGTACCAAATAAAATACGTCTCATCCAAGTCATACGCTTACCATTTTATGAGAGTATAAAAAGTTTCTACTCTCCTGACAATATAATACGATGATCATCTCCAGCGATCACCCGAAAAAATCTAATCTTTATTTTGGTCCAATTAAATTCTAAGATTAGCAATTTCGATTTTCTTTCTTTTATAGGTCCCATAGCCGCATCCTTGTAGTAAGGCCAATAAAGAACTTTTGGATCTCAATCTAATACAACAATATTCAACGCATCACAACCACATATTACAATTATTTTATTCTTTATTCCCACAGATTACAATTAGTTTATTCTTTATTCCCTTTCTTTCATTTACTACTATTTCTTGTTATCGACTAACCAAAAGAAAAAAAAAACTCCAACAAAAACCGCCTCTATAACTATGTGAAAATGGATTTCTAAATCTCGCATCTATGTAAATTGTGGGAACATAATAATCTCTTTCGTGAATTATTAGAAACCAACATGTCGGATTCATATTGAATATAATACAGTGAACATAATGTTCTGTTAGTTCACAATCTTCCACTGTGCATCGTCATAAAACATTGATCTTTGGCTTTGTTAATCACCATGACTTCACAAGCTAATTTTTGAATTACCTTACAGAATATATGAGAAAAAAACAGTAGCATTCAAGATATTAAATGATCTACTTTGAGAGATGGAAATTGTCTCAAGCAGTATATTGTTGATGCTGTAAGTTTTCGCTTCTGTCTTGCCAATAATCTTCACCAACGGCGGTTCATGGTACCGATTTCATCTCCATTGAACTTAAGAAGTTCTGTAATTGATTGAAATGACTTAACTATGTAGATCATGAACAAGAAAATACTCTCAAATGATTTTTTCTTTTGAGCCAATGAGCCATAACCAATCAAGAGAAACCCCTGAAAGTATGCCACCTATTAGACATAGTATTAGCAAGTTCCCCAATGCATTTTGCTCCGGACCCTACAAAACAAATTACCCAGAAATTTTATGAGAAAATGCTTGTAATTTCACCTTTGTTTCATAGGCCTGTGATGTGAACAAACCTTGTAGCCTTTGGGAGCTGCTGTAAGGACACAAACAGTTAGGTAACCATTGGTCAATCCCAAGAAGGATGTTAGCATTGTCATTGGTCCTTGATCACCATATTTTGCAGCGAAGTAAAAACAAGGGATAAACAAGAGACGCAATAGGGTTGCAAACATAAGGCCCTTTCGAGATTCCAACTTGAGCTTTTTCACGAGAGGAATGTATCTTGATATCAGATTCCCCACGTTGTACATTGCTATTAGGACAATAGCATACCTGCAAGTCACCGGTGTGAAAGAGTAATGATATTAGAATGAATTAAGCATAAATGCACACATCCGATAAAATTGTGCATGAGGGACTTCATAGTGTATGCATATTTTTGTCAACTTCAGGTGAGAGTTCAATGAGGCCATGGAAACACTTTTTTCTCAGGCTACCAATTATCTGCTAAAGCAATTTTGTTGTGGAACACTGATAAATAGCATCACCAACCAATGAAGAAAAAGTAAATAGTTGCCCAGAAATCACCAAAGACAACTATAAAACCAGAGGACTAAGCTTGTGACAAATCCTATTCCATAATTAATACAATTGGTCAATTGCATTCAGCAAGGAGAAATTAAGGTTTTTTAGTAAGAACTCCTATATAGTGAATGAAGTAAGAAAATAGACAATAAATAGAAACCAATGATTGAAGAGTTATGAGCAGTTATCAAACACAATGTTCGTTAGAGCTCTAAATAAAATGTCACATACAGCATTAAGCTGACTTTAGGAATGCAGTGAAAAGCATTAACGTACCATGAGCCCAGATGATGCATTCCAGTGTTTTCATATAAGAACCCAGGCATAATTGATAAAGATACGGAAGCTATCAAAAACAGATCTATGGCATAGTCTATGTTCTGTAACAACAATTGTTTATGGCTCAATTGCTTTGAGTTTGTAGCATCAGTCTGAAAAGGTAGCAAAAGAATATTATTAAGACAAGCATTCATGAGTTTCTTGAGCATGGTGTGCTATGAAGTCCAAAATTTGACATACTATTTTGCTTTCTTGTGTTTGGATGCCAGCAGCAGCAAGGTCAGTTGAAACAGTTTTCGATCCTTCTGAGGCTGCTTTTGAGCGGTAGTGCTTCACGATTGGTAATTTAGGGAAGTAGAATGCGTACAGAAGAATGCATAGAAACACCAAAAGTGTGGAGATGGAAAGGAATAGAGCTGCAAACGAGGGTAATAAGGATTCAATTATCAGCATAAAGTTTGGACTAACCCAAGAGCTAAACAGCAGTTTCAGATAAAAAATCAGTCAACAAACGTAAGTTTTGGATATTAACAATTTTGTTCAGACCAAAAAGTAGTATTATCATTCTGTTTATTACTGAAAATAAAAACACATACTAGCCCCTTTGCGAAGACCATTATCAGATTTTTCAAAGACCGCTTTTGTGACTAGCCTCAAAGCAGAAGTGAGAGCCCCTGATGCAGCTACACCAGCTAAAAAGGACTGCAAACTCACAGCAAAAAATATCATATAGCTGAGTAATTGATTCGAATTGCCAGGAATGTGCAGGACAAAGTTATCAAGCAAAATGAGGTGAAAACATTTAATTGGAAAACTTCACCTGCAAGAACTCAGGACACATGAAGGATAGGTCTCCGACCATCCCACCTTGAACATAGGCATCTGCGACTCCAAGGGAAGCGACAATGACACATATACCTATATAATTTTCAATCCCGCCTTTCCCTGATGAGGCTAAATCTAACTGTCAAAATTCAGAGTAGAATGTGGTGAGATTGATTGGAAGCTACAAATTCATGGTTAAGTTACAAAAACCAGATGGTGGAAAATGGAGCAGAGGCAGTACTTACAACTAGGAGTGCCAAAGTACCGAAGAAGAAAACAATGTATCCAAATAAATTCCGTCGCCTAGTATCAACCTTGGCCTCAAAATGTGCAAGTGTTGCCATTGTTCCAAGTGCAAATGGTTGATAAACCATGGTGAGAACCCTTGCCGGATGGTATTCCTTCAGAATAAAAATAAATATATGAATGCTGAGGACTTTTTCACATGAATTTATTTTGTACACCTAATTTATGACATAACACCTTACATTTGATATGTGAATCTGTGACATTCAATTGCCGATGCAATGGATGCCTCAAGGAGAGGATGAAGACAGTAGAGAAGCCAATGAAATTGGAAACACCATTCAGGAAGCTATGAGTTTATTCTGTTGATATCGTGGTAGGGAATTTGTCCTTGATATTTTTCGAAAAATGGGAAAGGTACTCTTTATGGAATCCTATATTATTTTCAGCTCTCATGGAACTGGAAACTCTGTCATTATCTGGGATCCAAGCATACTGTGGGAAGATAAAATCTCTATGCAGAGAAGCCATTGATAAACCAAACATTTAATATCCCCCTAGGAAAGCATACTAACATGGAGTCTTAACTCTCAAGGGTCATAAATTGAAGTGACAGAGGATCAAACAGCTTGTAATGGACTTAATAAACTTTCGATTTGCAGTAGTATATCTACCGGGAACAATGCATAGTAGTAGTCTCCTATTGTCAACAGAGTATTCCAGGAGACAAGAGAGCCGAGTCCAAGAATCCAACAAGTTACCATTGCGCCATACCTTCCCTGAAAGTTAAAGAAGATTGAACAACACAAATCAAAACTATAGTGAAAAAATTCCACCCTTTCTTATCAAAATCAATGAAACAAGGGGGGAGTCACAAACCTCTAGCCTGGTTGGATTTTCAATTGCATCATCAACATTCATGGCTTCTCGTCTGTAAATAGCAGTGGCGGTATAGAGTTTAGAGCTTGTGCAATGATATACATCTTCCTCAGGGTATAGATTTAACTACTTATATGAACTTTTACAAGATAAAATAAGTAAAAAGTCTGTAGAATTCAATGACAATTTTGTCCCCTATGAGACGACGAAATTGTTTACTGGTCTTATGCTAGAGTATCAACCAAAGTGGATGTGAAGCATCAAGAACAGCCCCAAAGTGGCAGCCACATCAGTTGAAAAATATAAAATGCTGCTGACTGTGAAGAAAAATTGCAATTTATTATGTACTTCAGACCCCTATTTTGCATGAAATATCCTCATATTCAGCAGATTGGCATATAAAATACCCACAGAAATGACATTATAGAAGAGCAGTTATGCAGAAAAATAGTGTTTATTATAAAGAAACACAATATAGAAATGCGAAAAACATATATAAGACTATCACATCGTGTCAATGTTAACAAAAAAAAAAACTATCACCCAACGGAAAATGGTTAAGTTGCTAGCAATTCTGCAAATGATTATCTTCAGTATGTGACTAACTAACTAACTAGGAACACTATGTGACGATTCTGAGTTTCTTCTGACAACTTCCCACAAACAATAACAATGCAAAACACAGACTCTTAAGTCTTGTAAAGATATTAAAAAACAACCCACGTTGTAATTTGTGCACTTGTCATAGAAAATAACGATGTACCTGAGAATATGCCAAGAAATAAGCCAGATGAAATGAAACAGCAAGCAGGGCTACATCAATAAATATATAGAGGGTGGAGTGGGGGCTATTCCCAACCAGTGGCTGAGCCACCTTAGGCTGGGGGAACTTGCCCCCCTCATTTTTGGATCATCTTGCCACTTTGGCATATGTATTGTTTAAGAACATAATTTTGTTCAACTAATAACATTTGCCCCTCCTAAATTTTTAGTAATTTAAGAACTCAATATTCATGCACCCTCCCATGCATTAAAACTCTTTAATATTACTATTTTGAGCCGCACTCTATATAGGCATAGGTGGAGCCACGTTAAGCCTAGGATTGGCACCCTATAAAATATAGAGCCGATGGGTGGGGTTATTCCCACCCTAAAAATATTCATGCACCCTCCTATCAAACTCTTTAATGTCACAATTTTGACTTCCACTCTATATAGGCATAGGCAGAGCCAGGTTAGGCCAAGGGGTGGACACCCTATATTTGGATCTGCCCACCCTATATTAATTTTTTGCAATATCAATGGGTATGAATATCCAAACGACTATGAACTTTCACAATATTCTAAACACAGTACGAGAACATTCGCATAAATTTTGGACAAATTGAGATTATTTTGTAAATTTAAGCAAAAATTATGAAATTATTATTATATTTTACAAAAATTAGGACCATTATGCAAAATATAGGGTCATTATATGAATCAATAAAATAATCAAAGTCACAACTTTAAATAACAAAATCATTTGGATTTTTAAAAATTCACATCTACACTTTCATGTCTAGAAAATCTTTGTATTAAATATTATGTAAATAATTGTAAACATGTCATCTTCATTTTATTGTTTAGAAGGAAAAAAATAAAAATAAAACTTGTTAAATTGCCTACCCGAGAAAGATTTTTCAGCTTCGCCCATATATATATATAAGGGTGACAACCAAGTTATGTCGTTTTTATTCGGGTTGAGCACTAGCCACAATATCACTCCAAAAATTTTGCCACGTCAAAATCTTGTCATTAACCAGATTTATTTATTATTCATGTTAGTACACCATTTCATTAATTTTTGAGTTATGCCATTAATTAATTAAATGTTAATTTTATGATAAGTTTGAATCATGTCAACATATCATGTTATTCACCAACCCACCCATTAAGAAGATAAATAAATTATAAATTCTACCCCCCCAACACACACATACCCCACACATACAAAGCCACATTCCACACAATGTCTTTTCTTTTGTCTCACATACCCAACACAGAACAAACCACATTCAGCACGAGACATTTTCTTTTCTGCCATCATAACCACCCTAGGTATATTCTTAAACAAAAGTGAGGTTGCATATATACATACAAACAAACATATTATATATTGCATTGTAATATATTAGGGTGCAACTCGGACGGGTTGGACAGTTAACTCTAATCCAACTCTAGGTATGTAATTTTTAACCATAATTCTAACTCTAACCCTACCTCGGTTGAGGGACTCAACCCAAACATTGCCCGAGTTTAATTCGGACGGGGTCGGGTTGAATTCGAGTTAACGATTTTGGGTTACTTTACGGTTCACTTCGGGTTGAGGCCAAAATAGACTTGTTGTTTTAAACCTGATACATATATTACATAATATTCACCTAAATTAACAACTAACAATTTCAATCAAGTTTTTAACATAAAAATCATAATATTAAGAACTCAATGTTTGAGATAATGCAATCACAACCATACATAACACAAATAAATACAACCAGAATCCTTGTACAAACATAGAGTTCACTATTTAAATAGTGAGTGAGAGAGGCGCACAATGAAAACTTCAAAACAGATTAATCCTAAACTTAAAAAAGTATTTATATGGTTATAAATATTTAGGTTTGAGAATATTAAATCGGGTTGAACCCGATTTTAATATTCGGGTTCAACCCTTGAATCCTAGGCCCGCCCAAATTAAATTTGGGTTAGAATTTTTTGACCCAAGCCCAATTCAAGTTTTAAAAATTCTAACACAAATCCTAATTTTTTCTGGTTGAAATCGGGTTAACCCGCCCAAGTTGAACCCCTAGTAATATAAGACATTATCTATTTAAGATTACTAAGAAATAAAGATACGTTCAAGCAAAACCAAAGAATATGCATTTAAAGCCTTTAAATATATAGATGATAACGGTGTTAAAGTCAGAATTGCTCTAATTTTTTCTCAAATCCTATAATGCCTTTTGGTGGGAGAGAAAATAAAAAATATCTAAAACAATAGGATATATACTAGTGTGAGACTTGTTTTGTGCGGGGCATGTGAGATGGGTAGACAAAGAAATCCTTAGAATGTGAAAACTACCAGATATATGCTTCAAGTGTACATAAGAAGACAAAAATAAAACATATTTAACATCTTAATGAGGTGGGTGTTTGTTTTTGATCTAAATTAGGTGGGTGTTTGACTCGAGTGGAGTTAGCCTCTAATGGGTGGTTTGGAAATAATAGTTGTATGCTAAGGAATACAATTGGATGAAAATGAATATTTTTAGGGTGAGGTTTGCATACCCCCAATGCAATTACTAAAATATGTAAAAAGCCAAGAAACCTTATCGAATGTATTCTGCTTGATGAATGATTGATGACAGAAAGCTGAAAACACCTAGGAATCTTGGATGAATAGAAAATCTTACAAAAAACATTCTTCAAATTATTTAGTTTTGCATAATGGATAATTAGTACAAATAATATTTATTAAAAAATAAAAATTTAAAGATAAAAAAATAATAAAAAAACGACACGAAGATATTGTTAAACAATCTAATAAAAGAGAAATATAAGAGATAAGAAAAGAGAAGACTAGAGTTTTATTGATACTACATATAATTCAATTGAATACGAAGAAGTAATTTAACCTAAATACAAATAGACTATATATAGGCTAAACAAAGGGAAAATAAATGACTATTCTATCCTTAATAAATAAAATAATCCTATATTTCTTAACATCTCCCCTCAAACTCACGATGCGGCAACTACAAGCATCGAGAGTTTGTCAACTAGAAAACGAAAATGGAAAATAGAATACGACTTGGTAAAGAAATCTGTAATCTGCAAAAAAGAAGAAACAAATGACAAAGTAATGGTGTCATGCTTGAGATGATGACGAGTAAGGTGACAATTGATTTCAATATGCTTAGTTCGTTCATAAAAAATCGAGTTGTGAACAATCTGAATAGAACTCTAGTTGTCACAATACAAAGGAGTGGGATGAGAAAGAGAAACTCTCATATCTGCAAGTAACCAATGTAACCAAACAATCTCTTTGGTAGTAGATGTCATAGCACGATATTCTACTTCGGTTGAAGATTAAGAAACAATAGATTGTTTCTTACTCTTCCAAGAAATAAGAAAATCACTCAATCAGCTTCTGAGACTGCAGATCCTGCACATAATAAGAAGAAGAGGAAAATGTGACTAAATTACCAGAATCACATAATTGACCAACAAAAGTAAGATTTAATGTGAGTTTCGGAATATGATAAACATTAGGGAGAGACAAAGTGAGGTGTGACAACAGAACCAACACCTGCTAAATGCATAGGAGTGTCATCAGTAGTCATAACAGGAATAGAAGATGAAGGAAATACAGAAGTAAAAGATGAAGAATCTGGAGACAAATGATGTGAAGCACCAGAATCCAAGATCCATACAGAATGTGACATACCTGAAGAACTATGAGGCAACTGACCTACGGAAGAAGAAACAGACATAACTTGTGGCTGTAAGGAGAGAAACTTCTGAAATTGCTCAGCCAAAGTACTATAATCGGTGAAAGGACTTGAAGAAGCCACTGTTGCAGTATTAGACTGTGGTGGTTTGTAACCCTGAGGTGGTCTATGAGCATTAGATTGTGACTGGTTGCTAGGTTTCCAAGCTTGAGATTACTGCTACAATTGATTCTGCTGTTTTAACTTAGGACATTGAGCCTTCCAATGACCTTCCTACTTACAGAAACTGCACTCGTCGAAGACAGTCCTTATGTAAGGCTTATTCTGATAATGAGAGAATGGTTTAAAAGGTACTGCTAGCACAGAAGGATTAGAAGTAGAAATAATTCCCTTTTCAGAATAAGACTTAAGGTGTATTTCTTCAGCCAATAACTCACTGACAACTGAATCAACAGAAGGAAGTGGAGAACGATGAAAAATTGAACCTCTAAATCTTTCAAAATCACTACGAAGTGCCGTTAAAAATTGTATCAACTGTTGCTGCTCTCTTCGAGCAATATAAGCACCACATACCTTTAATTCGGCCGATTTTGTAAGAGTCAATTGATCCAAAGATCTGTCATAGCAGAATAAAACTCATGAATACTCATATTCCTCTGCTAAAGAGCTTGTATGTCATTCTCCAATTGATACTGTTTTGCAAAATTTGATTGAGTGAATAACCTTTGCAGATGATCCCAAACCTCCTTTGCTGTCTCATACTTTGTCAACTGTGTACCTATAGAATGCTCAACAAAGTTGTTAATCCAAGTAATAATTTTTGCATTGTCTGCTTCCCAGGCATCTATCAAAGCAACATAACCCGCATCAGTATTATTAGGTTTCATAGAAGTTCCACTAATATATCCCCATATCCTTTTATTCTTAAGAAAATTTCTCATCACATAACTCTAATACGAATAATTCTTTCCATCCAACCTCACACTCACAGACTGAAGCGAATCGTCTTTTTTAGTAGCCATAATCAAAAAAAAAAAAAAAACCAGATTGCAAAAACAAAACGAATACCTTTTCGAAAAAAAATAGAAGTTGGATCCGCGTAAGTTGTGTTTGAGATTAAGCCTTGTCCCATGAAACTTTGCTCTGATATCATGTTAAACAATCTAATAAAAGAGAAATATAAAAGATAAGAAAAGAGGAGGCTAAAATTTTATTGATACTGCATAATTCAATTGAATACGAAGAAGTAATTTAACCTAAATACAAAGAGACTATATATAGGCTAAACAAAGAGAAAGTAAAAGACTATTCTACCATGAATAAACAAAATAACCCTATATTTCTTAACAGATATAACGTGGTTTGATACAATATACTCATCTGGTAC